CTACCATGTCACAGTCGTCAAAGACCTCAGTGTTAAATTCAGTGGTTAGATTTGGTCTTAAACTTGAATTACCAGCAGATTTTGACATAGTCATCACTGTATCCTCAAAATACATTCTTTGCTTGGCTTTTAAGATGCTTTTCTTCCCTGGTTTGCTACCTCACTGGTGGTTCTTGTCTGTCATCTCTTTCTGTAAACCAGAACTATACAATGGAAATGTAAGCCACATGTGTAGTTTGATTTAGTGTTCTAGTGGCCATAGGTGAAAATAATTTGAATGCTGTATTTTATTTAACTCAATATATCTAAAATATTAGTGTTTTGGCTGCATAGTATTGTGTCAAGAGTACAGTTTTTGAATACTTATTTCTGACAAAGGATGCTGCAATTACTGGACAAAAGTATAATGAGACACAGGATATGTACTTAGTCTCAAAAAATATCTTTCCACCAGATACTTATTAATTACAAAGGGAAAAATGATAGCTTTGTCATGGAGAAACTTGGCGGATAGCACCTTAGTCAAGTGGCCAGAATTATCCATAATTAGACAGATTGACATGTGCCTACTTATACAGTGTTCTAGGAAGGACATATCACTTCTGTGGTATTCCTATCAAATATGATATAACTTAAGTGTAATCTTGAAGAAACATCAGGGTTACTGAGGGATGTGCTACAAAATGTATATTACAAAGTATTGTTCAAAATATTCTATTTTGAAGTACTGTTTGAAGAGATACTTCTAAATGTCAGATACGAAAGTTAAGGACAGAGGAAATGCTCCAGATCAAAGGAGGTTAGAGACATGAATTTCTTTATTTGGTAATTGTACTGTGGTTATGTAAGAGGAAGATTTTGTTTTTAGGAAATCATACTGAAGTATTTAGAAGTAAAGGGGCATCATGGTCTGCAAGTTAATCTCAAAGGTTTCATTTTGTCACTATCACAAGTGCTAACCTGTTTGTTAATACTCACAAACTCTGTCTTCTCTCTTGTTAAGGTGAGAGTATTCCTGTTACAGTCTAAGCTCAGCTCCTCCACTTGTGTTGCTTTACTAGGCTCTCCTTCACTACTCACTTACTCTAATCGGCACGTAAACATGCTTTACATTCATTTGAAAGCACCACAGTTTCGTTGATCCCATGGCTCCTTGTATCTACAATCCCATTTCCCAGCTACTCTCCAGGAAAAACTTCTTTAATGATTTGCTTATTCTACTTTTTCTTTCGTTTTCTCTTTATGTACTCCAAATGGTCGTTCTTTACCACCACTACGGAGAACTGGTCTTTACCCATCTTGCTAAATTCAGTGTTTTCACCCCTCCCTCTCCAGCCTTTGAGCATCATTAGACCCAGTTGACACACTGTGAAATACTTTTTTCTCTTTGTCTTCTTAATACCAGTCTTTTGGATTTCTTTCTGCCTCGCTGGTAAGTCTAGTTCCTGTGCTTGCATCTCTAATTGCTGGGGTACTCGTGGACTCCCTCCCTCCTCCATAACCGCTCCCTAGGTTGATTTCCTCTACTTATGTGGCATTCAATATCAACTAACTATACACTGATGAAGTCCACATTTATACCTCTAGCCTTGAGTCCTTCCCTGACTTCTAGTCTCAAGCAAGTGAAATCTGAAATCTCCACTTGGATGACCAAAGAAATTACAAGCTTGATATACCCAAAATTGTACTTCATTTCTGCGCTTACTCCTGCTCCTCTCAAATACTGCCTTTTCCCAGGAAATGGTACCATCACCTGCTTAGAACAAAACACTAAAAATGAGGCTTGATTGTACAGTTTACCTCATATCCACATTCAGTTCATCAGCATATCATGTTAGTGCTACCTTTGAAATATATCCTAATTTTTTTTTTTTTGGACCAACTTCTTACTCTCCCCACTGTTGCAATCCCAATCCAAGTCGTCATCAGCCCTTGCTTGGACTGTTGGTTAGAGTCCAATGTCTGGTCTCCCTAGTTTCACTCTTACTTCTGTCCTCAAGTACACAAATCTTCAAGAGTGATCTTTAATGGTAGCAGTCTGTTTACATGACTCTCTTGCTCTCACTTACCTAGTAACTTAGATTAAATTCTTATTACTGAGGTATATATACCCAGGACCTGTGGTGTTCTTCCAGAAAGATAGTTTTCCTAAGACTCTTCTTGGCAAACTTACAGATAAGGTTTATGGATATTTTTGTTTTGTTGTTTTTCCTACACAGTGTTGGTCTGGTTTTTTAAAAATAGGAAGATGAGGCTGGATGTGGTGGCTCATGCCTGTAATCCTAGCACTTTGGGAGGCTGAGATGGGTGGATTTACTTGAACTTAGGAGTTAGAGACCAGCCTGGACAACATGGCAAGACCCCATCTCTACTAAAAAAAAAAAAAAAAAATTCAGCCTAGTGTGGTGGTGCATGCCTGTATTCCCAGCTACCTAGGAGGCTGAGGTGGGAGGATTGCTTGAGCCCAGAGTGGGGTGGAGGTTATAGTGAGCTGAGTTTGCGTCACTGCACTCAAGCCTGGATGACAGTGAGACCCTGTCTCAAAAAAAAAAAAAAAAAAAAAGAGGGTGGGGGGGAGATTTTACATTGAAAAAGAAAAACCTAGATTTTTTTCTAAAACATTAGGAGACCTGCCACACTGACCCTGTATTCATTCATAGCCACAACAGGATAAGTAGTGGCTGACCCCTTCTAAATGAAGCATATGTTTTCCAATTTGCCAGTCTCCACCATTCCCTAGTGTATGTTGTAGTCAGCCAGATATATTTAGGAAGATAACCTGCCTTTTGAGTTCATGAACCCTGCCCTGGAATAAGTCGTTTGTTGAACACATATTTATTGAATAGAAGTCTATTTAGCACTATTCTAAGTCCTGGAGGTAAAATAGTAAATAAAGCCGTGAACTCATGGATTATACCTGTCTTGGGACAGATAGTCAATGCATATGTAATTAAATACATATATAATGTCACGTGGTGATAACTGCCATGAAGAAAAATAAAGCAGGATAAGGGGATATAAAATGGTGGATGGTGCTGTCTTAGAATGCATAGGGAAAACCCCTATTTGAGGATTTGACATTAGAACAGAGGCTGGAATATAGTAAGGGATGAAGCCTTGTAAATATTTTGAAGAAAATCATTTTGGTGTGGGAGCCGTGAGAGGGGAATGTGTTTAGTATGTTTGAATGACAAGAAAGACCTGCCAGACTGCAGTGCAGTGAATGTGAAGTGATAGGAAATAAGGCTGGCGAGGGAACCGGGTCATGTGACGCAGGGCCATAGAGGCCATGGTGGGCTTTGGGATTTTGCTGTGAGGTAGAAAACTCTTGAAAGGTTTTGAATAGGAAATGACATGATCTTACTTATTTTCAAACAATCCTTCTGCCTTCTGGTGGTGTATAAATTATAGCAGGGACTAGTGTGGTGGGTGGGGGAGTTGTCTGGAGGTGGTTACAAGAGTGAGCAATAGTGGTGACTTAAACTAAAGATAGCTGTGAAAGGGTGAGTAGTTGGACTAGAATTTGAAGATAGAGCCTACAGTGTTTTCTGATGGATTTGATACAGGATGCAGAAAAACAAGAGGAGTTGAGGCCAGGTTTTCAGCCTGAGCAACTCTAGGTAGATAGTAGTGCCGTTTAGTGGTATGGTAAACGCTAGGAAAGGGGGCATCAAGCTTCTTTTTGGAGATGAAAAATTTGAGAATCCTATTTGATGTCCAAGTAGAGACAGACTATAAACTTCATCTAGAGGATAAGCTTATATAGCTTTGTAATGTAATGAGTCTTTTTATTTTTTTAAGGACTCGATTAGTAAAATATCCTGGAGGTCTTTGAGACCAAGGACGTAGGGTTTGTTTTTTTAGTGTTTGTGGGATATAGTACCTCACTTGAATTTGATGCTCACTGTGTGTGTTTTTTTTTTTTTTTTTAAAGAATCCAGAAATTGTGCTGTGGCTCCATCCCCTTTTGAACCATTATTCTGTTATTTTAGGATTCTATCTACATTTTTATTTGAGGCAGAGTCTCACTCTGTTGCCCAGGCTGGATTGCAATAGCACGATCTCTGCTCACTGCAGCCTCCACCTCCCGGGTTCGAGTGATTTTCCTGCCTCAGCCTCCCAAATAGCTGGGATTACAGGCACACGCCACCATGCCCAGCTAATTTTTTGTATTTTTATTGTAGACGGGGTTTACTATGTTGGCCAGGCTGGTCTTGAACTCCTGACCTCAGGTAATCTGCCTGCCTCGGCCTCCCAAAGTGCTGGGATTGTAGGCACAAGCCACCGTGCCTAACCCTATCTATGTTTTTATAGGAATTATAGTGGCAGAAACACTGTTTTAATGGGGCTTATGACTTGTTAATCAGATCAGCCAGATGACAGTAAATGTATTTTCTTCAAAGGAAGTCCAGCAAATCACTTAATTTGTTAATGACTCAGCAATGAAATCATTTAAAAAATGATTTGGGGGATGGGGGTCGTATGTCTGAATGACTCAGTCTTTTTCCTTCCAGTGGACTGTAGTGGAACATGGTTTTGCTCTCACTTTGAATAATTCTCTTTGAGAAATCTTAACTGTAAGCGATCATTTAATAAGTTTTTAAGTAGTCTTATCTAAATCTTGCAGCCTGGTCCTTAAACAGTAATTATTGTATATTTACTATTCACCTGTGAATGTGAGAATACTTTGTGAGAATTATTACTTTGTGATATTTTCATAAGCATTACACTTATATGGCAAATGAACGTATTAAATTGCCTAAGGACAAGCAATTGAAAGTAAGGACAGAGACAACATTAGAATATGGTGTTTTATGTGTATGCCTTCAAGAAAAGCTTGGTTGTATCCTAGTAATATTTAGACAAGCAGGATGACCTCCCATTTCTGTTTCTTTATTAAATAGTGATTTTGTAGAGAACTATAAAGAAAAGTTTTATATTTTGCCACAATTTAAGGTTTTGTTGCTATTCATGAGCCTGATTATTCCCTTTTTGTATAGGAAGATTTTCAGTCTATGACTTATGGATTTAAAATGGCTAACAGTGTGACAGATCTTCGAGTTACAGGTAAAATTATTTTTAAAGATAATTCACAAGTTTTACATTTTCATATGTTTCCTTTTAAAACTTACTGTTTCTTTTTCTAGGCATGCTAAAAGATGTGGAGGATGACATGCAAAGAAGAGTAAAGGTATATATGTTTTCTCTTTGATGTAGGGTTTTGGTACACCTCTAAATGTCAGGTTAACTTTACCTAATTACAAATGTGTAGAACCACCTTTCTCCTGTATGTGCTTTGTATTTTTTTTTTTTTTTTGTAATGAATTTGAACACTGCTAGAGGAGTTTCTGATAAATGAATGTCATTTTCAAGTATAGCCATCCCTCAGTATTATCAGAGCATTGGTTCCAGGACCCCTGTGGATGCCAAAACTCAAGGATGCGCAAATCTCTTATGTAAAATGGTGTGATATTTGCATATAACCTGTTTATGTCCTTCTGTATACTTTAAATCATCACTAGATTACTTATAATATTTAATATGATGTAAATGCTATGTAAATAGTTGTACTTTTAAAATTTATATTTTTAAATGCTATTTTAAAATTTTTTTCTGGCTACTTTCAATCAGTGGTTGGTTGAATCCAACCCATGGATAAAGAGAGATGAGTATATTAAAATTTAACCCACTTGATTCTTTCAACTTTTTGCCGGTGTTTTAGAGTTTTTTACTATGCTATTTTAAGAATAGTATTTTTCAGAAAAAAAAAAACAAAAAGAATAGTATTTTTCTCCCACTACTGTTTTG